TGTTGCTATAACATTTTACACATACATAACTACATAACATTTTAACATTAATATATATTTTTATATTTTCACATAATCATACGCTAAGCATAATAATGAAATAATATGGTAAATGAGCGTTGAATCAATGAAAAACTAAATAGTCGGTGTACAGAGATGAGGTTTATACTAATTTATATGAATTCAAAAGGTTAGATTTATATATAAAGTTTGAGAGGAATTAATTAGAATATTTGGAATAATTTGAAACACTTAAGTAATAAATCAGTTCAGTCAGTTTGATTTTTGTTTTTTGTATTTTTTTTTTTTTTTTTTTTTTTTTTTTTTTTTTTTGTATATGTTAACGTGCTAATATGAACAAAGTTATTCGTATTTTTGTAATAATATCATTAAAAAAATGTAAATATCCAATTTATATGAGAGTATCTATTATCCTATACTTTTATATTTTTTTCAAGTTCCTACAATTCGAATAAACTAAGCTACGAATGTAGTAGATGTAATTTCATGTTAAGCGCGACTAAACTATTTGTTACATTACTATTCGTTTTATGCGTTAAGAAAATGTTAATATCGATACTAATCTCTAAGTCCATACGACATTTGAAATGATTATTAAATTTAACTAACTCTACTCAGCTACAAATGTAAGATGTTCCTGTTCATTTAATATTAACTTTGATTTCTTTATGAAAATATTGATATTCAAATATATAATTCTGTGTTTCATGTAAAAGATGTTGTGTAGTATTACGCAATTGTTAATTAGGGATTATTTTTAATTATTAGAAACTATAATATAACGTGCATATTTGAAATTTTTTTAAGGAATAATATCTAAATTCGTAAAAGCATTGTGATAATATTGACAACTATATTTTTAAAAGATAAACCGTAACCACGTCGAGATTTTTCAAAGAGAGTGCATTGTTTGCTGCGAGAAAGAAGTCAAACGGGTATCCGCGAGGCTCGTTATTTACTATGGCGTTGCTTCGTTTTGCTTTCGCGGAAAATAAGATCATCATTAAGAATCGTCTCATGCACGCTTTAAACAAAGCAGTCACTGGTGTTCCGGCACCAATGACCAGCTCCAAGTACGAAATCAACTTCACTTATTGATGCAGTCAAGCGTGCATTTAACACTAGAATAAAGATTCGAGATTAGCTGTAAAGATTAGGATGCGATGTGAAATGTTATTGTGGCCTAGAATTTAAATAAGATAAGAATTACGGTCGCAATAAAACAAGTAAATCTAATTAGACTTAAATTAGCGACAATTTATTAAAATGCGATTTTTATAAAAATTCATTCGAATGCAGCATTGCCATTTAATAGATGGATAACAATTATTCAAAAAGCTGATTTAGGGGAGAACATTTCTTATATAATGTACATTGATGCTTACGAAAAATGAAAATAAAATTTATGCAACATACGTTCACAAGATTTTTTGGTTTTATCCACTATATCGATAACATTTTGGTTTTATCCACTATATCGTTGTGCTTTATTCATAATTTAAGGCAATAATCGAAATATTAGCTGAGCAAAACTTAATAATGAATGTTGTAGCTGCAATAAGAATAGAAAATTAGGATTATCATTCATATACCATAATACATATTTATATATAACATCCTATTTCAATATTATAATATTGTTATAATGTAATATATATTTATATTCCATATATAATACTTATTTAATATTATATTACTATGTTGCTTATATACTACTGTGAAACACTGAATACATGCATGTACATAATATGCAATGTGAAGTTAATTTTTTAAATTTATTTATTTAAGCATTCTTAAAGTCTTTAATGTCATATCTTGAAATTATTCAGCTGTTGGGTAGAATTTTATTTTATTGCACTATTTTTTTCTCTCCTCTACAGCGATATGTACGTCGGTTATTGCAGCTCGTTAAATCGGCTGCATTTTATCCGTGTATTTTCCAATAATTATGTATGTGGCTGAAATACAGGCTTGCAATACTAAATAGTTATAATAAGATAAAAGAACAATTTATAACAAACATTTGATATCTCTTATGAATGTTAGATATAGTAAACAAAAAAAAAAAAAAAAAAAAAAAAAAAAAAAAAACATTGTATATTAATCAGTGGAATAAATAAGTAAGGAGCCACGGGAGACGAAACATTTATTGTAAATCCGAATACCCTTTATTTAGCAAATTGGCTATCATTACGATAATCAATTGTCATTAAAATCGAATCAATCGAATTCTTCTAGGCTAAAACGTTCGAAATATTTTAACCTATATACTAATCATATAATAATCACAACAACAACAACAACAACAACAACAACAACAACAACAACAACAACAACAACAACAACAACAACAACAACAACAACAATAATAATAATAATAATAAATAAATAATAATAATAATTAATGATAATAAATAATGATAACCGATAGATCATTAAACTTCAGTATACTGTAGAATATGGTTGATTACATATTGTTCGTAAGTCTTAAAATGAAAACCAAATTTACAGTCCGAATATTCAATATTTGCAAATAATATAAAGCGATGCATTTGGTGAAGCGACTCCTTACGTATTTGAAATTGATATTTAGCATTTATCATTAATCTCTGTTGTAATTTATTTTACAGAAGAATAGTTACATTCTTACATTGCTTGATGGAGTTATCTACTCCAATTCTCAATATTTCAATCTATAAACAGTTGAACAATCGTTTCTTTCATTACAAACACCACCAACAACAACAACAACAACAACAACAACAACAACAACAACAACAAATAACTAATAATAATAAGTAAATAAATAAAAAAAAGTATTCTTGACAGTAAATATTACGTTATTTCAATCGTTCACGAATAGAAATAAAATATGAATAAGTGATTAGAAACGAGTATTACGACTTTCTTTGGATTTGCAGATTTTCTTTTATCTTTGTGTCTACACAAATATTCTAAATGCATTGGATAGATAACTAGATAACAATATTCTAATACACCACTTTGTTTTCTAAAAATTAATGTCTCCCGTAGTCTCAATCGCGCTATAAATGGTTTTTAAGCGAGTGTCCGACATATATTTAATATTACACTTGTTCGCTAATTTAAAATACCTCCATTTGTTTATAATTCAATGTTGCGTAAGTCGAAGAAAAATTCTTTATATAGAATACTTTGCTATAAGATTTGCAGATTTTCAGATGATTGTTCTAGGAATAGCGAACAATTGCTATAATGATTGCTGTAACGAATAGGCCCAAGGAAATAATGTAGAAATAAAAGTATGGAGCGGCTATCGTCGAATAATTATTGTCCTTAAACCTTAGAAACCTTAGAAAAAATAATAAATAATAAATCCTTGTAAACCTTAGAAAAAAAAAAAATAAAAAATAAATAAATAAATAAATAAATAAATTATACGCAACGGAATATGTCTGTCTATTTTTAAGTGCGATTTTTAACGCTTCAACGTGTTAAGCATTTCAATCGTTTAATTTAGATAAACAATATTGTACATCCATAATGTATCGGTTTGCAATGTGTTGAATCTATTGTGAAAAAATTGTTGGTCACAATTGAGAAATCGGCAATTGCGGCTTTGGTAACAAAAGTTGTAAAATTATGGCTTAATTCAGCAGTTTGAGCTACCATGTAGTAACGAGTGTTTCTATCTTTCGATAAAAATTTGAACCACATTAAACCATATAATATAAACAATCCAATCTGCCTTCTAAATATCATCACGTTTGCATTTATAAACTAAATTCACTCGCCGTCAATTGCATTAAGAATTCAATTGAATATTTAACAACATACGACTTATGAACTTACAGTATAAGAATAATTTACACGATGAGCGATAAATCAATATCGCTCATAACTCGCTGATTCTTATTAAGCAATAATAACGTATTCTCCCACATTGTCGTCTCGCGATAATTTAAAACACCTAAAGCTTCGCGGCTAACGTTGTTTCGATACTTTCATACCGTTCGATAATTGTTTTAACGAGCAAAGAAACGAGTACAAAACATCATGAACCTTCAAGTTTCGTACCGCCTTATGCTATCATCGTATCTCAATCTACTTAATAATCGTCATTAATCCTTAAAGAAGGATATTCATTGGGACTAATCGGCAAATCCTCGTAAGCAACTGCACGACCGTGCTAATCAACTCCTACAACCAGCCAATTTGGTGTTCAATTTATCCATAAATCGTAATCAGTCATGGTTTTTAATAAATCCAACCTTAACCCATATACTAGTGGGTGATATGAACACCTAATCGTGCAAGTCGCTTTTTCAACAATTAGAAGCCAGAATTCGATGGTGATACGATCACGATGTTTCAAAGGTGGTATGTCCAAATTTATGCGATATTCACGATTATTTTCGCATCTTTACTATTTCATTACCCCCTTTAGTTAATAAACATTGCCTCTCGTCCATGTAGCACGGAAATCTCCATCCTAGAGGCGGATGGAACGTATTGGGACGACAAAGGTACGCGATAAAGACGTGGGCGCTTGAGCACAAGTTGCAATGCTTGGCGAACAATCTGGAACCTGGAGAACCTTGAGTATAACTGAGTAAACGGAGAGGAGTTAAGAGGTGAACCTAAATCATATTCAAGTCTCGGCTAAAGTCCGCCGGCGGTGATTCGTCCCGTAGAGTTACGAAGGTCGATCGAGGCTCCCGGTTAGCCAAGCTTTCGGCACCTCGGGCTCAGGCACCGGCCTCTCGAGTCACGGAGTCGGGCATCGTACGCACGACGGGGCCCCACTCTCGGATCTGCTCGCGCCCTCCGGGTCCGAGAGACGTCGTTGTCGGGGCTGGTGGCGCCGTCGTTGGGGAGGGGCGGCCGGGGAGGAGAGCCGTCGGCTTCGTTGCCGCGCTCGGGGCCGCTCGGGCGCGCTCGTGGGCCGGCGGGCGGAGCCTAGGCGGGGTCGATATCTTGGGCGCGCGGACCGTCAGACAACAGATAGCCGAGGAGCGCCTCCGCGTCCGGCTTGCGACGCCGCGGCACCGCTTCGGCCTCATCCTCGTCCTCGTCTTCGCAGTGGCCGCCGTAGACGTCGCTCGGAGCTCGCCAGCAGGGAGCAGACCAGCCGGGGCCAACGAGATGAGAAGGTGCGTGCGCGAGATCGGGCCGTGCTGACACGGCGACGGACCACGACCGCGACGTCATTGCCGTGCACGCACACACGCGCCCACGCGAGCACATACACACACACACACACAGAGTGAGAGAGAGAGAGAGAGAGAGAGATAGATAGATAGATAGATAGATAGAGTGAGAGAGTGTGAGAGTGTGAGAGGGGGGACGCGCGCACACTCGTACTTGCGACTGGTAAAATTAAGCGAGCGAGCGAGAGCGCGCGCGCGCCCAATCTTTCACACAAGCACACAACGAACGCACGCATACAGGCACTTACACACGATCGCATGAACGCACGCACGCACGCACGCACGCACGCACGCACGCACGCACGCACGCACGCACGCACGGACACACGTACGCACGCATTCATTTGCGCATGAACCCGCTCGCGCGCACGCGCACGTGTGGGCCTGTATGCATGTACACACATGTATGAGCGTTATACAGAGTCATACACATAACCTACGCGCTACGTCAGGGTACGAAGAGGTGGGCGGTGTTGCCGGATCGCGCACGTCCCCGGCCGTGATATGCGCGCGCGCGCAATCTCGAGTGAGAGAGAGAGAGAGAGAGAGAGCGAGAAAGAAGGAATGGAAGAAGGCCAATAGAGAGAGCGCGCGGTGCGTGGTTGCCACGTCGACCGCCTGCTTTCCTTTGCGCTCTCTCTACCATCGCTACCGGTGATTCTCCGCGGCTGTCTGTTGCGGCTGCGTTTCTCACTCTCTCTCTCTCTCTCTCTCTCTCTCTCTCTCTCTCTTGCGCTCTTTCTCCCTCTCCTTTCGTGCGCGCGTGTATGCGCGTGTGTATGGGCGCGCGCCGACGAGAATTCGCGGGCACGCGCGCAGCAGTGCCTCGTGTCTCATCGTCCCGTCTCGCTCTGGCGCACGTGACTTTTAAATGCCCGAGCCAGTTGGAGTTTGGAGAGCTCTTGGCTCTTTTCACCTTACTCCGTTTTTTCTTGTTTTTTTTTCCCTTTGACGGTGCCGTTGCTCGCCCTCCCGCGATCTCTCAACTGGCGCCGAGGGCTTTAACTCTTGGCCTCGACTGTATCATCGCCGATGTAAACAAAGTGCGCACTGACACCACGTAACGACGTACGACATCGCGGTTGCGGGGAGGAGGAGGGATCGTGTCTCCCGTCGGCAAATTGATTCGCTCGTGCGACGACGCCGAGATGCGGTTGTTCTACGATGAGACAGCCGTCGACGAGTATTTGTTTAAACTCCCGGGCGAAATTTGCGCTCTAGTGGAAGGTGCACGTCCAGGCGTAGCCGCTTGCCTGTAAGTAAAATCGCGCACACTCCGGATTTCCCGCTGCTCGCGGGCCGACATCTTCTCGAATGCACTTAGCTCCGGCGCTGGGGCCAACTCCTGGTCAAAGGCTTTTCACAGGGCGAACTAAAAGAATAGCGAGAGTCGCCGTTAAGGTTAGAATCGAGCGATGAGCACACGCTTCGAATACATCCTTAGGCAGAGTATATCTGTTGCATATGTGAGTCAAACATGCGTCATAGGAATGCCTACGGAGGCGATACTCCCGTTGTTTTACAACGTTACGTAAACAGTGGAAAAAAAAGAAGCGAGCGAATGCTTACAATCGGCTAAAACAAAGGAAGAGGGGGGGGGGGGGGGAGATCGCGCGCGCGGACTCGACGCAGTGATGGTGGTGCATCGGGATGTCACTGTGAGATGCAGCGGAAACGTGCTTGTGCGACATCCCTCGTTAATATTCGAGATGCACTTTCTATTGGTCGCTCTTGATCAATTCGACACTGCCACCCACCCCTCGGTGGCTCCTGACGCGGCAAATCGAGGCGAGCTCGCGTCGCGCACACGTCTATCCACTTTATCTATACGTGCGCCGAGTTTATATTCCCTGCGTGCGTGCGTGCGTGCATGCGTGCACGCGTGTTTGTAGCGCGCCCGCTCGCTCGCCTATGTGTACATGGGCGCGTGCATGTATATATACAAACTGTGTAGTAGCAGGGGGCAGGTGGGGGGGAGGGGGGGCGGCAGCGAGGAGACTCTTCGTCCCGTTTCTCTTTCGCAACTCCTTTCTGGGCTGCCGTCTGCATGCCACATTTTTTTTCTGCTTTTCTCTTTTTCTTTTATCTCATCGGGAAGCCGTGATGGTCGGCAATGAGGGAGTGGGAGCGAAGAGGAGGAGGGTCATATAGCGATAACAACAAAATACACCTATGTGTGATTATTCGACTGGTTGCTTAAAATTTCATTGCCAAAGGATTTCAAACGATCTGATGGCGATAGTCGGCCCATCCGAATGTCGCTTTTCTTATACACTTTTGCCCTTTTTATTTCTTTTGTTTCTTTTTTTTTTTTTTTTTTTTTTTTTTTTTTTTTTTTTTTTTTTTTGTTCTTTTTTGTTTTTACATTTTTCTTCCTCCCCGTCGTTCGATTAATCAACTAGTGTAATTAATTGCCTGTGCGAATTTTAAGGGCATCATGCGTTTCATCTCTTGCTACAATTAAAGTTTGATGACTATGAATAGCCAAGGTATTTTTGTAGCGGAAAAGGTAGGCGTTTTTCGCTCGTGTCTGTTGTACGTATAAATTGGTAATAATAATACATTGATTTTGCCAGAATCCAAAAATACTTTGGATAAGCAAATTCTATACTTCCTTCACTTCCTTATCGAGCCAATCGATAATAACGTGGTTTGCTTGCACGTTCATACCAACAAATACAATATTGTTAAATTAGCGATCGAATAATGGATAAAATACTTGGGAATGAGATATTTTACTCGTTGGTAATCGTACAAACTTTTGGTTATTATTATTTTTTTTTTTACAATTCTTAAAAGACTATTGACGCGTCTAACGTCGACGGAAAATCGCGTATTTACGCCAGTGATAAAGATTTAACATAACACACAATATAAAAAGTAATATCTTGCGTATTTTAGGACAAAAAATGCTTCGTAGTAGGAAGCTTCGAAATAATTGCTACTGCGCATGTCGATTCACGCACGGTAACGCGTGACTCGAGAATTTTTCAGATGCTTAAATAGTCTTCTAAATGAAAAACGACAAGAATAAATAAAATCGCTGAGGTAAATGCGACAAAAGATTTTAATATTCATCTATGGATAATTAATTGTATTGACTCCTAATCGAGGATAAAAATGAAATTATAATAATTCCGCATGATACAGTCATTGGCAATTGTAGCCAGTAAAGTATCAAAAAAAAAAAAAAAAAAAAAAAAAAAAAAAAAAAAAAAACAGGCAGATATTTTTAGAAATGATTATTTATTTTTGTCTCATTACGAAAACCGATTGGAAGAAGTTAAGTAAATGCAAGTATGTACTACCTAACCGAGACAGAAGTACAATAATTTAATATTAGCCCTATTTAATATTGACTTCTTTAGCGGCCAATAGTTTGGTCCGCTAACTCGTACCTCAAAACTTCTTAACAACCTGAAAAAATTTATCTAGAATTCTCTTGAAAAAAAAAAAAGAAAAAAAAAATCATCCGATAAAATAAAAAGAATCTATGATTCACCGATCGCATTAAAATTGGGAGGGTAAATTTAAACAAAAATCTTTAATTATATTTGCCAAGATAGAACCTACGTGCTATTTATGCATATACTATTGCGTGTAATTGATTGGAAGGCATAAACTCTTTTTTAGGTGTTAACTACGGTATTTGTTTTTATGTAGATCGCGCGCTTACGTTGAGCTTGCGTGTGGGTGTTGGTGTGCGCGTATGGGTGTTGGTGTGCGCGTGTGCGCGTGCTTCGTACGTGCGGACGGGACAAAGTAACAAGCGCGTCAAATTGATTGGAAAGCAAGCAAAGCGAAGTACGTCGTATGAAAAAAAAAAAAAAAAAAAAAAAAAAGGCTCGTAGCTTAAGCACGAGCGAAATGAGTTCGCGCGTGGCGTAAGCCATTTATCAAGGACCGTCGAAAAAAGGGACGAGATTGTAGTGAGATCTGGAGAAAAAAAGAGCAAAACAAATACGCGTAGCAAAGAAGCGCAGCCGCATCTGTATAATCAACCTTGGGGAGTAAAGAGTCGGTAAAAACTTGTTTTCCAGGGCGTAGGACGACAAGATGGAGCGGCCGCAGGAGAGGAGGGAGCCGGACGACGACGCCGGACTCAAGGAGAAAGAAAAGCCCCTTGTCAAGGACCTTAACCAGCACATCGTCTGCCCGCTTTGCCAAGGATATCTCATAGACGCGACTACGCTCGTCGAGTGCCTGCATTCCTGTTAGTATATCCGGCGCTAATATATAATAATCTAACACCTGCTGCTCACCCGCCACTCTACCTTTGGCCTTCCCCTCTCCCGTCCCCCGCCGGCCAATCGTGCTTTTGCTCATTTCTGGCGTTGCTGTCACTACTCGGAAGTCGACGTACGCATTGGAAACTAAATGTACAATGTATCTGGGAGTTGTTTGCTTAGCAGAGTCCGCGGCCACGACGAAACGCGACTCTAAGGCTTATTTAGCCATCGCATAAATTTCCTTCTGGGTGGCGAAGTTGTTTCGTCAAATCCACTTGTGCGCCCGTATTTCCATCATTCTCTCTTACGCTTAAGGATGGATTTGGTTTCTCAGCCTCGCCTCCCCTGCTTTTTACTCATGCACCCTTGTCCCCATTTTCTCGGAACTCATCCGAGCGAATGACGACCAGTTTCATTTCAGGCCCTTTCTTCCTCCAGCCCCGTTGCATAATTATTTCCTCCTAATCAATCGGCAATTCTATGCTACACTACTCCTAAGCGTCTGCGATAGTTCATTAACCGTCATATAACGATAACCACACGGCAGTTCATCCTCTTTTAACGTATTCTTTTAGCTGGAATGTACGTAAATTCGTCGATAATGGTCATTTTCAAAGCAAATCCTTTGGTGCCTATCAAAGCCGATGAAACACGATGTCGCGTATTTTATTCTGAAATTAGTTATCAGTGTTTAATATACCGTATGAGAGATGTCAAATTTTCACAATAAAACGACAGTTACTTGCAAAAATTGGTTTTCAAAGCAAAAAGGGATTTGGCGTTATTCGTATTCGTATGTGTTGTAGGAGCGTAGATTGCGCGGTCAAAACGAATTTTGTCATATGCATAGGCCAATGCTTTTACATTGTACAACTCGAGCGCTTCGATCGCGCCCTTAAAGTACGTCTAATATTATGAAATATAATTAAAATTCATCGTTCACCGAACAGACCCTCTTCCAATTAACGAGCTGCTCAAACTTAATAATTCGAGCCAATAATCTAACGTTCATCATTAAAGTGCTTAAAGCGCAAACGATCCAAACTGCTACGAGCTATATATTGAGTAACGAATGCATAGATTGAGAATATCGCGATGATCCCCGATGCCGCTCCATAGACACCGCGGGCGAAATAATGGCAATAAGGTGGCCGAGCCGAGCCGAGCCGAGCCGAGCCGAGCCGAGCCGAGCCGAGCCGAGCCGAGCCGAGCCGAGCCGAGCCGAGCCGAGCCGAGCCGAGCCGAGCCGAGTCGAGTTGAGTCGAGTCGAGTCGAGTCGAGTCGAGTCGAATCCGTATCGCGGGCGCGTATCGTAATCCCAAAATAATCGTGCGTGGGCGGAGGTGTGCCCTCGGAAAGCGTCCAGTCCCCGCTTATGACGGCGGTGTTCACAGTTTGCCGTGGCTGCATAATTCAGCGGCTGAACGCCGGCCCGAGAGCCTGTCCAGTGTGCAAAACCGCAGCGGTCGCGCCCCTCGCGGCCGACCTCGGGCTCCAGCGACTCGTCTACTTGGTCGTGCCGGGGCTGTTCAGGTCCGAGCAGGAGCGGCGCCGACACTTCCACCAGGCTAATCCACAATGCCCGGGCCTCGGGCTGCCGCCCCTCGGCGCCCCGGACCTCGGCTTCGACGACCTCGTTAGTCTCAGTTTGTGCGAGCTCGGGGCCAAGAGCGCGGCGAGCACACGCTATCTCAAATGCCCTGCGGGTGTCACCGTACGCCACCTCCTCAGGCTGTTGATGCTCAAACGGGGATGGGACGACAACGAGGGAGAGGGTCGTCAACAAGGTCACGGCAAGATCGAGATGATGTACGACGTTGGGCCCGCCGAGACCAAGGAAGATCACGAGGTGCTCGACCCATCCTGGACCCTCATGGACCTCGCCTGCATTTTCGACTGGGAGAGGGTGAGTTCTCCATTGCTTATTCTCGATACCCACTCCATGTGCTCGCATCCTCCCTCATAATCGGTACTTTTTACAACGATACCTCTCCCCCCTTCGTTTTGCCAAACGTCGTTGAGGCTTTCAGCTTCAAAATTTCTATTACGTCATACTTAAGCTGCTACTTAGTCACCTCGTCATTACGCTAATCTACTCCGTTATTATAATAATTATCATGACAATGCACTCTACTTTGCTCTCTCAATACCGTCTCCCCCATTGGACTTTAAAATTTTTTTACATTATTTTCAGATTTTTATTCCTAAGATCGCGTCATGGATATAAGTTGCGCCGAAGGTTATTAACATTGGCAATTTATAATTTTCGTTCGATCGACTCTAAATTTTTTCACTCCTCAAAGTGAGACAAACGCGCTAATAAAAAAAAAAGTACAAAAACAAAGTATTACCTGTATATTGTTAATTTATCACGATAGGCTTTATGATTATCGAAAATCGAATGTAAATTGTAAAAAAGCCTTAATCACGACCACGCGATACTTAATAATTATTTGGTAATATATTATTGATTAATTAGGCATTAAACTTAGACCTCGATCTTTCAATCTAATAAACTCTTTCTAAATCTTTTCATTACATCGGCAGCTCAATTGGTAATTGAAAATAGCAATCGACTCGCAAATCCAAGGTTTCGCATATATTATTAAAACTCCACTCGGTCGAATGGACACGAGCGAAATTATGCCAGTTTTGCGCACATAATGCAAACAAACCTTGTTGGCCTTATAATTTCAGGAAGCTCCGATGAAGCTTGTATATCGTATTACCAGAACGGACGAATTCACGGCCAACAAGACAGCGAGTGAGGAGGACATTAACAGTAGCGTCGACAATGCCAGCACTGCCGGCGCGATTACCGACGCCGAGAGCAGCAGTCCTCAAGCTATTGAGAATATCCCAAGACCACCGACACCTCCCCCAAGTCCTAAGCCAGCCTTGATTTCGCGCTCCGACGTTCTTGACAAAAATGCGCGTCCACTTCCTGCGTTAGTGCCGCCGCCGCCACAACCACCGCCGCCACCGCCATCAACGACGACGACGATGACGACAACGACAACGACGAGTACCGTGGCCGATCAGTACCCGAGCTCGAAGGATCTCGAGCCGAAGAAGCCACGGTGCGAGGTTACGCCGGTGATGCGGGCCCCGGATCCACCGGCAATCAGCGAATCGCACACCAAGCCGCGAAAGCTACCGAAACTCGAGCACCAACATAAGCGCAAGAAGCGCCGTAACAAGCGCGTCATCGCCGAGATAACAACAACCCCACGCGAAGACTTACTTAAACTGAAGGTTCGTCTAACCCCGTGTCCACCGCGAGTAACCCAGAGTAGCGTCGGCGGTAGCCAGTCGAAGGACAAGCTGCTGCAGATGAGAGCTGTGCGAAAGGAAAAGACGAAAGGCAGCGGCTCGCAGAAACAGCGATCTGGTAGAGAGCGCAAGTCGAGCCCTGCGAGGGAAGAGGAGAAGCAGGCGCCGACCGAGGAGATGATCGCGAACAAGCATGAGCCAGTGGCCGTCGTCGAAGTAGTCAACATAGCCGAAGTCTTCCCGCCTCCAATCGCGAACGCGAAGAGTAGCGAGCAGCCGGAGCCCGAGGAGCCACCCAAGAACGAGGATGTGCTCCGTAAGCTGGGACTGGTCGCCATAAGCGAGGCCAACAAGACTCGTCAAGAGAGGTCAAAGAGTCCGGCGCAGACGGCTGCGGAGAAGGCCGATCCGGCGGTGGAGCGCGAAAAATTAGAGAAACAATTGCGCGAGAGCAAGGCCAATCGCGTGCGTAGTCTACTGGCGGAGAAGCAGATGCGCGACACCCTCAAGAGCATAATGTCGAACTCGAAGGAAGTGTCGCTGACAAGTGCCTCGGTGCCCTCGTCCTCCTCGTCCCCCTCCTCCTTATCATCATCATCATCATCCTCATCATCATCGTCCTCGTCGTCGTCCTCGTCCTCGTCGTCGTCGTCGTCGTCGTCGTCGTCGTCGTCGTCGTCGTCGTCGTCGTCGTCGTCGTCGTCGTCGTCGTCGTCGTCGTCGTCGTCGTCGTCGTCGTCGTCGTCGTCGTCGTCGTCGTCGTCGTCGTCGTCGTCGTCGTCGTCGTCGTCGTCGTCGTCGTCGTCGTCGTCGTCGTCGTCGTCGTCGTCGTCGTCGTCGTCGTCGTCGTCGTCGTCGTCGTCGTCGTCGTCGTCGTCGTCGTCGTCGTCGTCGTCGTCGTCGTCGTCGTCGTCGTCGTCGTCGTCGTCGTCGTCGTCGTCGTCGTCGTCGTCGTCGTCGTCGTCGTCGTCGTCGTCGTCGTCGTCGTCGTCGTCGTCGTCGTCGTCGTCGTCGTCGTCGTCGTCGTCGTCGTCGTCGTCGTCGTCGTCGTCGTCGTCGTCGTCGTCGTCGTCGTCGTCGTCGTCGTCGTCGTCGTCGTCGTCGTCGTCGTCGTCGTCGTCGTCGTCGTCGTCGTCGTCGTCGTCGTCGTCGTCGTCGTCGTCGTCGTCGTCGTCGTCGTCGTCGTCGTCGTCGTCGTCGTCGTCGTCGTCGTCGTCGTCGTCGTCGTCGTCGTCGTCATCGTCGTCCTCGTCCTCGTCTTCCTCGTCCTTGTCATCCTCATTATCCTCATCGTCCTTATTATCTTCATCGTCCTCGTCATCAACCGCGTTGTCGTTATCGTCATCGGCCTCCACAACGGTAGCCTCCTCGTTATCCGCCTCGTCGTTAGTCTCGCCGTTATCGGCCTCGTCCTCGGTCTCCGTATCCGCCTCCTCCACCGTCACCGTCTCCGCCTCCGCCTCCGCATCCGCCTCCGCCACCGCCTCATCCGTCTTGTCCTCGGTGTCCAGCCAGTTGCCCGCTCCGTCCCCAGTCGTGTCAGCCACGTCCTCAATTGGATCGTCCATGGCACGCAGTGGCACCCCGACGACGAGCGGCGCCAAAAGGAAAGAACCACCGCCGCTGACGCCTCTGAGGAACGTCAAACGACCGAACGTCACGTTCGCGCTGAGCTCCTTCTCAACAGGTAAATACGAGTCGCCTCTTGACCTCAGCAGTCCATCTCATGCCTCCAAGGACAACGTACTCGATCTCTCGTCCGGTGTGGGTCTCGGCAAAAATCAGGAAAAGCCCGTGGGCATCCTCAGGACCAGCAGGACGTCCGCGGACAAGCCCAAGGAGGAGACCAAGAAGAGTCAGGATTCGAATTTGAGAACACTCTCGGACGCCGCGGTCTCGCTGTTGGGCGATCGGAGTGCTACTCACATGGAGAAGCTGGCCAAGTTACCGCAAAGCTACTCGAGTGCCTCGGCTGGATCAAATATCGCTGGGAAAGTCGCTCTGAGAATACCCCAACCCCATCAAAGAATCACGGGCTTTGGAATGAAAATCAAACCCAATATTGGCGTGAGGCACATACCAAATCCTCAGGCAGTCGTCGCTTCCCAGTATCGAAATCAAAGGACCGAATACTTCAATATTGCCCACCAACCTCCATAAGTATAAATTTTACTTAATAACGCTTTATGTTTCATCTTCTTCCCTTTATCCTTAGATTGTATTTATACTCGCCGATTTCGTGATTAAATAAAGAATAATGGTGTCGCATACGTGCGTGGGTTTTCCTTTGGGGTGTAGTCAAATGTTTATCGATAGTACGTAAATGGTTTAGTATGTCAGTATGTGCAATATATAGATTCAGTAACGGAGGAAGTGATAATTACGTAATTATTTGGCGCGTCGATTTTAAATCGAATATCATACCGAGTGTGTATTTATTATAAAGAGATATTTTCCGTACGACGACGCGAGCGTGCGCGCCCCCGCGCTCAACCAAGCACACACGCGCAAACACACACACAAATACACATAAACGCATGCGCGCGCGCGGATCATAAAAACATAGAATGTTTTCCAGGTTGTATGCGTGGGTGGGTCACCTAGATGCAACTACAAACAAATAAACGAACGCACGCACGCACGCACGCACGTTACTGAGTCAATTTTCATAATGATAGTAGGTGGTTGGATTATATAGATGTTTCACCCTAAATTTAACAATGTGAGCCGAGGCTGGTTCTTGGATTTTTTTTACTGTAATATGCCAAAGTTCTCATCGTAACTCGTAACAAATAATTCATTATTAACAAATATTCGACATGTTTGATATCTAATCGTAACGACTAATGAATCCATAATTTTTGCTTATTCGTTTCTTAAAAATTTTAAAACATAATTTACTTTTATTTAATTATATTTTATTATTAAATAGCTTAAGTTTATAATATGAAAATCTATCGGTTATCGTGGCAAGAAATAGCCCTTGTAGAACAAGGCTTTAAAAAGAAAATGAAAGAAAAAAAGAGAGAGAAAACAAAAAACGATCTAACAACTAGTAGTGCATGCCCGTTTCAATAAACTAGTATCGAATAAAAGTTTTCACTCGTGAAAAATAATAAATGATTATTTATTTCTCTCTCTCTCTCTCTCTCTCTCTCTCTCTCTCCTTCCCTCCCCCCTATCCAGTCCCCCCTCTCACCATTTACCCTTCAATCCCTCCCTATTCGCCCCCCTCCCAACCAAATCTCCACCCCGCAAATATACGAGTATTTCTACGGATGTAAAAAATTCTCTGATGCAAATTCATCCAAAAGTGATAACAAAAATCTTGTCATCGGAGTCTGTATAATAAAAATTGTACGGTTAGTCAGATTAGGTTGAAGGAATGGTTTGTGACGTCACGTCGCACAGAAAAGTTTGAACCAATATTTTACGGTGCGGTTACAAGATTTTACTTTTAATACGAATGATGAATACTGTGACATATTCCAGTGTAAAAATTTTCAACGACTTCAACGTATTATATTTAACCGAGAAAGTGTGAAATATATTATTAAGATTTTACGGAGAAGATGCTATTCAAACAAATTGTGATACAGACATGGTCAAATGTTGTGAATGTCACAAAAAATATCTTTGAAGCTATCTCTAATCTACGATAAGATAATTTTCGCTCTGAGCTGAGGAGAGAGTAAACATTTAATAAAGAATGAACGCTTTTACGAAGTGAGATAAATGCGTGGATATGCTTTGGAGGGTATTATTATAAGAGGGAAAAAAAGTCTCAGACTACATAAGAAAGTTGCATGTTTATTATTATACGGGAAAGATTGATTTGATGATGCTACACAATGAAACGACATACCGCAACACACATTACGCGAACGCTTGACCAAGAATTACATTCGCTATCTCGTTCCTAAAAGTTGAACAGTTCCTCTTCAATACAAAATAATAAAATAAAGAGAAATATTAGTATACTTACATACAAGGCCAAATGCGTGTGTATGACTTTTAGTGATAATCTATTTTGCAAGCACAAAATTTCCCTCCAAGCATATCAGAGATTTATGATTGGCGTAGCGGCGATATTGTTGTCGAATTAAAATTTGACAAAAATAATAAACAACAAAAAAATAAAAAATAAATAAAAAATAAAAAGTATATATATATATATATATATATATATATATATATATTCTTAAGGGAAACAATACGTAGAATATTGAATTATTACACGATGTTTTTACACTCTCTTGGCGTTTATCATATCCTATGTATAACCGTACCAGCCAGATGCAGGTAACGATTAGCGTTTAAGTGATAAGTAGATGTACGTAGGCAGGCCGAACTCCGTATATAGCATAAACAGGAGAAGGATCGACACGGCAAGAATAAAAATAAAAAAAAAGAATAAAAAAAAAATAAACAAAAAAAAAAACAAAAAAAAATCCCAGTTGTTAAACGTTCTATTTATATCGCAATGTTTTCTTTTCCATTTAAATAGGCGATTAGACGATAGTCAAAAAGTTGAAATCATAAGTAATCCGAATTTTAATCGATATTCAATTAACGATCGTTTGTAAACAAAAGCTGTTGTCGATCTTATTCTTGTAAACAAAGTACTCCTCAGAGATGCCAAAGAGTATGATAGAAAATAAAAAGTGCAATGCTTAGTGCAATTTTATTATCGTCGTTGAGGATTATACTTGATCGATTGAAATACGAAGTGAACCTGTCATAAGACGAATAACATACTAACATTGTCGATATCAAAGATCAGTTGGACCAACCATGAATATTATTTATTATAACTATTAGTATTATTGTTTTAATTATCACTAAATTTATTTTACTTTTGAAAAATATTAAATTTTACGTCTACGCTAATTTTAGCAAAATTCTTAGCGCCAATGCAATATTTGATATGATGTTGTGCAATATCGTTTCATATAACAATAATGGAGGCTACTACCAAAACAAAAACAAAAAAAAAACAAACAAAAAAAAAACAAAAAAAAAAAACAACAACAACAAAGAAACAACATAAATAAATAAATAAAGAAAAAATAAAATAAACGAATAAATAAAATAAAAGCAAAAAAAAAATATAAATAAAAAATGAAAATCAATGTATTCTGCAAAAGAGTCTCGTCTCGTACGTTACTAATGATAAAATAAGAATATTTTTTCCTCTACTTTATGATTTAAATCGAATTTACCAAAGTTATCAGTAATGTATCTACGCATGCTTTATATATTATCACGATTTTAAATAAATTAATGTGTTTGACATTTGCTCGTTTCATTCTTTCACTTTTGAAATGGCTTTATCGTTATAACCCTTATTACGATTGTTTGGGGGTGAAGGCGATAAATCACGAGAGCGCTTACTAAATAATTGCGATTCGAATAAATTGTCCTCGTTAATGTAAAGCATCGCCTCTCTAGTATGTAAAACTCATCTATTATATAGACTGATCACATTTATAGTGTACGTCCTGTAATGTAGTTTATGACGATTTGCGAATTCTTACCATTTCATCGTCTAGATAATCAAAAAGGAAAAACGTGAGACTACCATTAGGAATAGAGAGTGAGGTCTTTTTATATTGTAACGTTAACATTTTTATTCTGGTTTTACAAACAAAAACAAACAAAATCAATACGTATACTATACAGTTACATGGCATTCAAACAATATAATAATTAATTATTAAGTTGTAATTATATTGTTGATTTAAAAAAAATTGCAATTTTTCTGCTTCTTAGCACAATATTTATTATGTAGCGGAAACAATTTATGTGCATTTTCATTAAAATGAAATGGAAATTTTTAATTATATCAGTGTGATATAGTATCCCTGAGCTTCCATCGTCTCATAATGGAAAAATAACCAAATTTATCTGTGAATAAAAAAAAAAACTATTTATTATCACTATTATTATTATTATTATTATTATTATTATTATCATTATTACTATTATTACTATTATTACTATTATTATTACTATTATTACTATTATTATTATCATTATTACTATTATTACTATTATTATTATTATCATTATTATTATTATTATTATTATTATTACAATAATTATTACTAATACAATTGCTACTATTACTACTATTACTATTACTATTACTACTACTAATATTACTACTCGTCTTACTACTATAACTAAAATTACTACTCTTTTAATATTAGAAAGGTACATATGGTATTTTTTTGTTAAATGAGTCATTTAAAAAGTCTACTTTCTTTCTTTTATCCTCGAAATATCTTGAATTAAGAGTATTGACATTGAAACCATTCGAATGAAATAATAAATTTACGAGGAGTGATCATAATAAGCAAATAAATTTTAATTTATTTTACTTGTAGAAAGATAACTTAGTTCTTTTTAATACGAATTAAATTTTAATAATCTCATAACATATATATATATATATATATATATATATATATATATATATACACATACACGCATATATAATCTTGCGAGAAATTTCAAGATTTTTATTGGAATAATTTTGTTTTGAGTATAATTAAAATGTTTATATGCACATTACAATACAATAATCGAAAAGGACCATTATTATCAATCGATCAAGGTGATTATCACTAAACGAATATCAGAATTTGTCGATGCTGTAGACATACATTGTTGTACATTGTAAGCAACATGCAATATGAAATAATACACATAGAGATTGTCAGTATATTTTATTTGTTATTGGGATTAGTTACAACTACTTTTTTCCCCATTTCTTTATTGTTATATTTTACCTACTGCGTACCTTGCGATCTCTGTACTACACAATAATAATCATCAATAAATATTCTATTCACATGTATATGTATGCATATTTATGAGTACATTTATTTAATCCAAGATTATCTATCCTTTATGGAATATCATTATTTATAACCGTATTGGTATAATAAATGGTCACACCTTCATATTCATTATTTTGTATTATTCAAAAATTATTTATATATTTACAATACATTTATATAGAAAAAATAAACTTACGATCGTTTCAATTCAAAATAAGAAAAAAACTTTATTTAAAGAATTATAAAAATTTTAACATTTATAATAATTATGTAACATTGAATAAAATAAACATATAATTGATATTGTTTTTATTATTATTGTCACCGTCATC